TATCATTATAAATTGGAAACGTCATTCACAGGAAAGATATGAATTCTCCTCAATGCTGATACCAATGAATAGAGAGTAGAACCACCTTTAATGTACTGTACATCATCAGCTTTCTGTAACCATTTAGTAAGACACGCATGCAGACCACCCTCAATATCTCCTATAAAATTATGATTCTCTGTAATGACATCAAGTGTAGCAAGAGATAGACCAAGATAGCGACCAAGTCTACAGTAACTGACTCCTGCTCTGAATCCAGTGTAGTCATGTCTTCTGAGTAACTGAAGTATCTCAGGAAGATCAGTAACTAATATAAATAATTTCGTTTAGCAAAAGAAAAAAACAATAATATACTTGTCAGTTGATTTGGAGGGTCTACTGGTACAGAAGAAGCGACAGGAGAAGATAACTTAGAAGCCATCAGTTGTAAAGGGTGGGGCTGGTTGATGACATCGACACCCATGTACAGCTAGCAACGCCCTCGTGCTAGGGTGTTCCTAAGATATCCTTTGCCCCGGCCCCGGCCCCTCATGTAACAAATACGCCCACAAAGCTAGTACACACCCAAGAGTTACCATGCATGATCCGTGAATGATGGGTATCAGGCCTGGACCAGGTTTGATTCTATAACGGTCCAGTATCGACGGCCATCACTGCTGAATCGAGGCTGTTGCTCTGGCCTGGACCAGTATCTATTTCAGTCCCGATGTAGTCATAGCTGATACAGTAATGTCTGTTCGTCAGCACTGGTCCAGGCTGTATATCAGTACTGCCGGATCAGATCGATGCTTTTCAAGATGGCAGCCCCGCGTGGACTATCTGACATGTTTTGTTAAAGAAAATCATCTTAATCTGACTCTTTAAGAGAAATCTCGTTGGCTGTATACACTAGGGCTAAATCACTGGATGTTATGTGAGTACAGTGGACTACATTAAATGTTATACTATTTTTAGGCTATTTTGAACCATTTATTACTTAAACATGAGTAGGATACACGATATTTTGAGTAAAAAGTAGGCACATGTAGATACACAATCAAGCTAAATAAATTATTAATTGAGCAGATACATGACTGGAAAATAAAACGACTGACAACTTCCAATTAAAGTTTACCACATCTTGCCTACAAAATCTCTATGATACGAAAGTAGAGACCTGGGTTTATGAGGAATTATCAAAGGGGTATAAACTGCATGAACAAACTTATAATAAATTTAGGCTAATTATTATTGTGAGATTAATGACTTCAATTTAATTGACTATAATTAGAAGTACATACCTTTCATTATGGATTCTCCATTAACTTTCTAGTATTGAGCCAAACATTGAAACAGAGCCAGAAGACCTTTCTGCAATAATCATGACACTAGTGAAGACGATGAGAAATCAGGCGTAAAAATGGTTCACTACATGTGATTGTAACTATGTTTTTAATTAGGGTGAATGTATTAGTGATCATGATGATGAAGATATTGTACTGAGAGACTTATGAATGATAGTCACAAGTGTGGTAAAATAGTTTATTGATTATGTGTGTAATTGTTACTTTTCCTTAGAATTTTTGATACGGAAGATTATTCTAGAAATATTAGTATAGTAGGTGCTCCTTTAATTCATATTAATTTATTAATTTAGCAAGGCCACTAGTATACATTCTATAGTTACCTTATCTCACTAAGTTTCAAGACAAGAATATCTTAGGTTTGTTTAATTTCATGTGAAAAGCTAAATTCATTATTCAGGTTGTGATGAACTGAAACTTTCTTGTTTAAAGCTCTTGTTAAGGTCAGTTTAATCATAGTGTTTTAATTTATTATCATCATTTGTCATTATAGTTCACTTCAAATAGCATTGAATTTTTTTGTGAATCTGCCTTCATCATGCTGGTTAAGGAAGGTATGTACTATGTAGTTCCTTTGCTTATGTAGAATTTATGCCTCATTATAGTTATGTTATGGATCTAAGCTTTGTAGGACTATGTGTTACAAGATACCTTTGAAAGATCTGCTTCACTACATGGAACCCCAGAGTTCATTAATGTTGGAGATTTTGGGAAATTAATTTCTCAGTATAATGTAAGTTTATTATTTTAGTGCCTTCTTAATTTATGGCTCTTTAGGTGTCTTAAGTTACAAAACATGAAGTGTCTTACTTGTGGAACATTGGTAGACTATGATAAAGAAAACAATTATAATCTTTTTTGGTTTTAATAATAATTCCAAATCATTTTAAATTAATAATGAATAATAATTAAGTATTAATTAAGCATAAAAGAGAAGTACGTCATAATGAGGCTTAATGAATATCGTTATCGTTGTCGGATCAGGTCTGGCACAGGCATAAATCGTGGCTGATTCGTCAATATCGGATCAGGACATTGCCCCAAATCCTCGGTCCAGGCTCGATCATCAGTAATGATTCAGGCCTGTATCAGGACTGGTCCATGTTCCAACTCTTGGGCGTGTAGGCTGCTAGCTATCCGGCCTAGGCGTCGTAGAGCTAGGTACGTAAGGAAATGACCTCCTGGCTTAAGGCCAAGGTTGTTCGAGGGTTTAGTTACATTCTACCTGTACCAGAGGCTGCCGACTCATCAGATGAATTAGGTAGCCATGATTTGCAGCCTTCAATTACAGATACTCGAATTATCGCAAAATTCCAGGCACTAGTCAGGGCTAGTTTGGGTGGGCACAAAGAGCTGAGACTTTTAGTGACAGGGAAGACAGGAGAAGGGAAGTCCACACTAGTCAATGGAATACTGGGAATGAAGGTTGCTACTGAGGGAGCTGGTTCTGAGAGATGTACAACAGGAGTTAAAGGGCACAAAATACAAATCGAAGGTGTACCTATCACTGTGTTTGATTCACCAGGTCTCCAAGACGGCACAGAAAATGAAGATGAGTACGTAGCAGATATGAAGAAGAAATGTCAAAACCTCAGTTTAGTTCTTTATTGTTCTAAAATGACCAACCACCGTTTAAGAGATGAAGACAAAAATGCTGTCTTGAGGCTAACGAGAGAATTTGGTCAAAAGTTCTGGGAGCATGCTGTTCTTGTTCTTACATTTGCTAACATGGAAATTGTCTCAAGACGTGATGACAGAGATGAAGATAAAGGGCCTGAGCCTGATGATAATGATGATGATGGCTGGAAAGAATTGAAAAAGAAAAGATTTGAAGGTCGTTTGGAGAAGTGGAAAGATGGCTTCTACAAATTTCTAACAGATGAAGTTGGAATAAAAAGAAAAATAGTGCAAAGAATTCTTGTGGTACCAGCTGGAGATCACAGGGTAATAAGAGACAATAAGGAGCCCTACCGTCTTCCTGATCGTGATGATTGGTTTATTGAATTCTGGAAGGCTTGCTCCTTACGAGTGAAGGAAATTAATCTCTTCTTTAAAATAAATAAAAGCCGAATCGTGATTGAAACCCCTTCGATTGTGCCTAGTAGTCACCCACACTTAACAACAAGCTCAATTGATGAACTGACTACAGTTGAGGAAGAAGGGGAAGAAGTGTTTGTTGATGCAAAAGATTTCAATGAATTGACTCTAGGTGAAGAAGTAAGCAATATGCTTCAGTAATTGTGCATCATAATCTTGTAAATTTTGACAGTATTTCTAACCCTTGTATCCTATGACCATTTGTGGTTTGAATGTGCATTCTAACCTGTAACAACTTTCTAATGTGTGTACCGTATTTCCTTGAATAAGGGCCTAGGCGTTTATTGCTTAACAGAGGCAAAAATCACATAAAGCTGGCTGAAATATACCTATCTATAGTCGTAATATATTAGTGATAGGCCTTTATTTGAGTAGGGCCTCTATTAGAGGAAATATACGGTATGTGTATGTGCATTAAAATAACTCTTAATAATAATTCTTCAATTTAAAGGGTTTGCTTTGGTCAGCAATGGGGAATCAGAATAATGAGGTATGTACATTGTATTTTCTCATGCAGTAATTCATGTTCTTTTCACTTTTTTATAGGAACCTTCTGATGCACAAGATTACACATTTCTTTCAGATACACCTGCAGATGACTCTGAGACATATACAGCAAAGCTTCAGGAAAACTTGCAAAAAAAGGATAAAGAAGCATGGGTGAAGGATATGGAGTGTAAAGTTGAGAGACTATCAAAAGAAGTGGAAAGGGTAGCAGAAGAACTTAGAAAAACAAAAGAAAAAATGGAGAGACAAATTGAGGAAAATAGAAAAGCATTGGAGAGGCAAGCAGAAGAAAATAAGGTATCAATGGAAAAGCTAGCCAAAAAAATATTGCAAGAATTAGAACATAAAAAGCAGGATACAACAGTACATGTAAGTGATGTGACTCAGCAGTTAATGTACTGTACTCCTTCAATAAAGTATATTTATTGCATTATGTTGTTTGTATACATAGAATTGTGGTGATATTGTTGAAGAAAGAGTCAGTGCCAATGATGAAGAAAGAGTCAGTACCAATGATGAAGAAAGAGTCAGTACCAATGATGAAAAAAGATTCAATACCGATGATGAAGAAAGATTCAATACCGATAATGAAGAAAGATTTAGTCCCAATGATGAAGAAAGAGTCAGTCCCAATGAAGGTCGTGTACAAGAACATACACATGAAGAAATAGATGATAATTTAATTGTTGGCAGACAAATTTGTCTCAATGAAGCTCATTTACAAGAAGTAGTTGAAGAGTCACTTTACAGAAAATATGGAAGGGAGGTTGCTAGATTGGCTAAAAAAATTTGGAAAAAGATCACAGCTCCTGCAGTGTGGCTCATGTCATTGTTCTAATAAGTTGTGTAATGATTTTTGTGGTTAATTTTTAGTTTTAGTTAGTAAAGCTCTGATGTTGTCTATCTTTTAATATTTTTTATTAATTTTTTCATTGTTATTGTTATTGGTTTTTATACCAGGTTGACTTAACTTCCACAAGGGGTCTATTTTTATAAGTCTTAAAGGTCTACATGTCACTATGATACTATGATGTGATTATGCGCTCCTGTTTATAGTTATGGCTGTTGTATGGATTTTATGGCTAGCATACACCATTATCATTACGATTGGTGCACCTGGGCGTGGCCAGGAACAAATTATTTTTGAAAAAAATTACTACCATAAATTCATGGCAATTGTTTCATTTCAACACTGACTAAAATAAGATCAACTTAGCTAGATCCATATGTGTCGGCCAATGACCTAAAGACCAAAATCATTTCTTAATATTCAATGAAATTATAGATATCGAAATACTTTGCTTTTATGTTCTTGGTAGCATCTTCAGCAGTGCATCAGTCCAAGATGTAAATGTCATGCTATAGACTTTGTTTGGATTCATTAAAAACCCATTATCACTAACAGTACAATAAAGTATAGAATTAACAAAATAATTCGTAAAAGAGAATCTCACCTGAAATATCCTTCCAATGCTCCACTATCCAACATCACATAAACTGCAGTTGCATCAGATTGGAGACTGAAATATTAATACCAAGAAATTATTTAGTCGAAATGACTACATACTACAATGCTATATAAACTTACTGAATACTTCATTTGAAGATAAGGACGTCATATTACTGATTGATATTTTAGCTTGAGGAAGATTAGCTTTTGTAAAATTTCCAGGAAATTTAAGTTTAATTGAGTGCAACTAGTAAGTGTCAACCAGTGACCTATAATTATCATGATAATTAATGATAATAATAGTAACTACTAATTAATGACACAAACCTTGTTACTATGTTCTTGGTAAAGTCTTGAGTTGAAATGTCGGACCAGGAGGTAAAAGTCATGTTGTAGACTGTTTGGAGTCATTAAGAATCCATTATCACTATAGACAATAAGAATAGGACACTTTCAATACTTGCAGTATTGAGTATACATGTGTCATAACTATTGAGGATGATCTCACCTGAAATATCCTTCCAATGCTCCACTATCCAACATCACATAAACTGCAGTTGCATCAGATTGAAGACTAAACACAGCCAAAAAGAAAAATTATAGTTTAGCAATTATTAGTGATAATATCATAATAGAGACTTACTGATACTTCATTTGATGATATTGACGTCACATTACTGACTATTATTTTAGTCGATGGAAGATTTATTTTTGTAAAGTTTCCAGGAAAGAAATGAGTAGAAGAAAGGATTGTATTGGAACCATCTACATGTACATGAATATTGTATTAATACAAAATTATTATTTTTTAATATTTTAAGTAGAAAGTACTTTACCTTCAGTTATCCAAATATGCAGATAAGCATCATTTACTGTAACACTTCCTTGAAATATATCACTAATCTTGTATTCAGCTACTTTTTTTCCTGTAAATCCTTCAGACTGTAAGTTTGGTACACTCTTCTGAGATACTGTTTTACCCTATACACCATACACAATCAATATTACATAGCTATTGAGTGTATAGTGCTGTCTTACATCCCAAGATATGATGTCAACTGATAAAGAATACTTAGCAGTCATCTGTGGATCATCGACAGTGACATAAACTGCAATAGAGCCATTCAATTGATATGCAGTGACAGAGACATCAGAATAAATCTATAGCACATTAACAGACACAAAATATTTTTAAAATCAATGCTTGTATATACCGTATAGCGGGTAAATTTGGAGGGGCTAAATTTTGGCAAATTGCTAAATTTTGGTGATTGGTGGATGCAAATTTGTGGCCACGTGCCATTGAGCATGCGTATAATAGCTCAAAATGGCGGGTTTTTATTTTGGTGAATGAATGGCTATCAAAATGCCAAATTCACCAAACTTAATCCCCTCCGAAATTTCCCACTATAAGGTAAGCACTTACTCTCCTCATAGCATAATGCAGTAACTTCCATCGTCCAGCATATTCAACAGAAGACCAGGTCTGTGCCTGCCAGATATCATTCTATTATAATAAATTAAAATAAATTCAACCATCATATAATGACTGATACTCACTAGCTGCCAGTACAGTGTACCACGAGTGTATGCCCCAGCTTCGCTCAGTAACCTGTGATAATGCTCAGCCTCTGATCCTATGCATATAACTTGAACAACTTGAGATAAGTAGATGAAATCCTTAAACTGTTGAACTGAATCAGTACTATAATATAAAATTAAAAAGATGGAATTTTTCATGCATTATGAACAAGTGCATAAATTTAAGTTTATTATAGAGTATAATAATTACTGTGAGAATAGAAAAATTTGAGCTCAAATTGTTTAAAACTTTATTCCACAAAATGTGCAAGCTATAATAGTATTTCAGTCTCACTTGTTTGGTAGATGAAAGAACTTGGCCATCATGTTCTGCATTTGCTTATTACCATCAGGGTGATGCTGTCTGTGACTAGTGAAGAATGGTGAGTCGTTGCTCCAATCCTGCAATAACATTCAATAGAGTTTAAATATGTTATTTTACATATTGCATCATAGTGTCTCTGGCTTACGTCGGGTTTTGAAATCGTTGAGAGCGAGTAAAATGAAGGATAGCTCTGAAAACCAAACTCACTCGCAAATCGAGGCCGAGGAAAAGTTGAAACGTCATTACAAGTACTAAAATAGTCGTACCTGCAAAATTACGTTTTATCATTAGTAATTGTAGTATGGTTGTATTGACCTGTGTATGTCACCAACAGTTGTGTTCTGTGAGTCTCCCCATCGCTGTACATATATGCCCATCACTGGATCATCAACTTTAGCTCCGTTTGAGGGACTGGCTGGCCAATAGCTTCTTGTGGTGTCCTAAAGTCAGAGAATTACAAGTAGGTTCTAAAAACTAGAAATTGGCCAAAATCTGACAAAATCCCTGTGCTATAGCCCATGGTTTTTTCCAAAAAATGGCTCCAAAATCACTCCAAATTTTTATTACATTTTCTGATACATATTGATGTCCTTATGCTGTGTAAAAAGTTTGAGCTAATTCTGGCTTAAATTTTTCAAGTTACGGCCATTTTAAGAAAATGCCAAAAATCTGAAAAATTCACTGTACTATAGCCCATGGTTTTTTCGAAAAAATGGCTCCAAAATCACCTCAATCTTTTATTACATTTTCTGATACATATTGATGTCCTTATGCTGTGTAAAAAGTTTGAGTTGATTCCGGCTTCAATTTTTCAAGTTATGGCCATTTTAATAAAACACTAAAAATCTGAAAAATGCCCAAGGCTATAGCCCATGGTTTTTTCAAAAAAATGGCTCTGAAATCACCTCAAATTTTTATTACATTTTCTGATACATATTGATATTCTTATGCTGTGTAGAAAAGTTGAGCTGATTCTGGCTTTAATTTTTCAAGTTACGGCCATTTTAATAAAACGCTAAAAATCTGAAAAATTCACTGTACTATAGCTTATGGTTTTTTTGAAAAAATGGCTCCGAAATCACTTCAAATTTTTATTACATTTTCTGATACATATTGATGTCCTTATGCTGTGTAAAAAGTTTGAGTTGATTCCGGCTTCAATTTTTCAAGTTATGGCCATTTTAAGAAAACGCTAAAAATCTGAAAAATGCCCAAGGCTATAGCCCATGGTTTTTTTGAAAAAATGGCTCCAAAATCACTCCAAATTTTTATTACATTTTCTGATACATATTGATGTACTTATACTGTGTAGAAAATTTGAGCTGATTTCGGCTTCAATTTTTCAAGTTATGGCCATTTTAATAAAATGCTAAAAATCTGAAAAATTCACTGTACTATAGCCCATGGTTTTTTTCCAAAAAATGGCTCCAAAATCACTCCAAATTTTTATTACATTTTCTGATACATATTGATGTACTTATGCTGTGTAGAAAGTTTGAGCTGATTCCGGCTTCAATTTTTCAAGTTATGGCCATTTTAATAAAACGCCAAAAATCAAAAAAAATTTACTGTACTATAGCCCATGGTTTTTTCCAAAAAATGGCTCTGAAATTACCTCAAATTTTAATTACATTTTCTGATACATATTGATGTCCTTATGCTGTGTAGAAAGTTTGAGCTGATTCCGGCTTCAATTTTTCAAGTTACGGCCATTTTAATAAAACGCCAAAAATCTTAAAAATTTACTGTACTATAGCCCATCGTTTTTCCAAAAAATGGCTCCAAAATCACCCCTAATTTTTATTAAATTTTCTGATACATATTGATGTTCTTATGCTGTGTAAAAAGTTTGAGCTGATTCCAGCTTCAATTTTTACAAGTTTTTAAAAGTTGCTCCAAAATCGAACTAAATTACCTCTACTATTAGTAACGCGGTAGCGTTATTAGTAACTAGAAATGTAGAAATGGAAACTTGAAAACTAGAAATGACTAAGAGAGCTAGAATTCTTACATCAAATTATGATTGACTGTGGTTTTTCACAAAAAGTGGCTCTAAAATCACCTCAAAATTTTAATACATTTTCTGATACATATTAATGTCCTTATGCTGTGTAGAAAGTTTGGGCTAATTCCGGCTTCAATTTTTCAAATTACAGCCATTTTAATAAAACGCTAAAAATTTGAAAAATTCACTGTACTATAGCCCAGTTGAAAAGGGAACAGAGCCCTCAAAAAATTTGTTATGAAAAAGGGTAGAAATAAACATGTAGGTTAAGGAAAGGAATATAAGGAAGAAAACAAAGAACAGGTTAAAGATTGGTTAAGGTAATAAAACTATAGCCCATGGTTTTTTCTGAAAAATGGCTCCGAAATCACTTCAAATTTTTATTACATTTTCTGATACATATTGATGTCCTTATGCTATGTAAAAAGTTTGAGCTAATTCCAGCTTCAATTTTTCAAGTTATGGCCATTTTAAGAAAACGCTAAAAATCTGAAAAACTCACTGTACTATAGCCCATGGTTTTTTCCAAAAATTGGCTCCGAAATCACCTCAAATTTTTATTACATTTTCTGATACATATTAATGCCCTTATGCTGTGTAGAAAGTTTGAGCTGATTCCAACTCAATTTTTTTACAAGTTTGTAAAGTTGCTCCAAAATTGGACTGAAGTCCCTCTACTATAGTACAGGGACTTTGGCCAAATTTTGTCAAAAATGAGTAGAAAGAATTCTTCATTCTTATCATGCATACATGTGCCTTCAATATACCTCTTCCCAGAGTGTTGCTCTAACAGTTGAGTCATACAGTAATGTGTAATCAACCAGTTTAGCTGTATCACCAATAGCATATCCCTATGCATAAAAGTAAATGAAATAAATAAATAAATAAATCTTGGTTGTGTATATGTACCTGGTTCTCATTGTTCCCACTCCACAGTACAATGCTAGGATGATATCCTAACCTCCTAACATTATCAATCACTTCTTCTCTTACATTCTCTA